CAGTTATCTGCAGAACCATTGATTTAGCTACGTGCATACACACAAACATACACACACACATATATATACATATTTTCTTTATTTTCTACGATTTCCAATTTCTTTAACTTCTACTGTCCCTATCTCTCTAATTTCTGTGTGTGTGTGTGTGTGTGTGTGTGTGTATTGTGCATCCACCTTAACACGATTAGATCCTTTGGCATTAAACTACCTTAATATAACGTGTTTTATTTTTTATTCAGTGCTCTATTACCATAGCCTTGTGTCAGAATCATCTTAGCTAATTTATGCATTTAGGTTTATATTCTCCTATCTATATTTTCTCTTTTTTTGATTTGTGTATTTTACTGTGTATTCTTTCTTTCTTTCTCATTCCAAAACTTCTTTCTTTCTTTCTTTCTTTCTTTCTTTCTTTCTTTCTTTCTTTCTTTCTTTCTTTCTTATTCCTAAACTTCTTTCTTTCTTTCTTTCTTTCTTTCTTATTCCTAAACTTTTCTTTCTTTCTTTCTTTCTTTCTTTCTTTCTTTCTTTCTTTCTTTCTTTCTTTCTTTCTTATTCCTAAACTTCTTTCTTTCTTTCTTTCTTTCTTTCTTTCTTTCTTTCTTTCTTTCTCATTCCTACACTTCTTTTTCATTTCTTTCTTTCTTTCTTTCTTTCTTTCTTTCTTTCTTTCTTTCTTTCTCATTCCTACACTTCTTTTTCATTTCTTTCTTTCTTTCTTTCTTTCTTTCTTTCTTTCTTTCTTTCTTTTGTACGCATGATCCCTGTTATTTATGTCTCGTCTCCTCAATAACTCAAAGCAAACACAATGGCCATGCTTCGCGCCACACCGTATATCATATGACGCGTCAATGTCCACTCTGATGACCTCAGTCCGTGTACTAACGACATTTCGCATTTCTTTGGCCGGCCCATGACTCTTCTTTTCCTTTCCATTCACCACTGGCTATCGGGACAATTGGAAGCGTTGTTGGAGTCAATATTTTGTCAGCTGTCTCGACAGTTTTTATTTCACAGACGTGTATTTACCGTGATTTCGCGCGTTGGCCGGTATTTGAAACCATATCTTGTCACACAACTTTGAATTTTGTTGATGTTTCTTTCGTCCGCAGCTGGACCGGAGCGATAATCATTTCGGAGATAATGATTTATGTACCCATAATTCCAAGCACATACGTTCATTGACTCATTTTTAGAGAAGAAGAATATATTTCTTCTGAAGTGACATTTGGTAAGACTTGTTGCACTATGTCGTGTGTTGGTGGGTGTCGTCTGGTGTTTCGAAATCAAATTAACATCGACAGTATTTTATTTCGGACAGCATCTTCATTTTTATTGCTTTTATCATAACATTTTGGTTACAGCACCCTGAGAAAATGAAACATTTCAGATAAGTTGGTTGACTTCTATCAGAACCTAATAACAGAACTTATACACACATTTTTAATACTAAACTCCCCCAATAAAAGCCACTAAGAGGTTTACTGTTAAAATGAATTGACGAATGAGGTGCAATTTAAGTGAAAGAGAATTGAGTTGTTTTTTACGGTTTGTCAACCTTTTTCAGGTTATTTAAAGACAGAAAATATTTTTAAATTGTAAGAGATAATAATGATTTATTGATACAAGTCCTAGTAATTGACGTATAGCTGAAATATATATATATATATATATATATATATATATATATATATATATATATATATATATATATATATATATATATATATATATATATCTCCCAACGGGATTTCAGCGTAAAGAATATAATGAACCCGACTGAGATTGGAACTCGGCTCTCCGATTTCCATTTCCGAGTCGTTATCCATTACACCATCCGCACATACAGAGTGAAAAAGAAGGTGGCAGGAAATGCATAAAAAATAAGGAAGGTAGATAGCAACCTGAAGAGGTTATGTTTCTAGTGTTAGTGTCAATGAAGCATTCTAGCAGGAATCTGTTCCTGAATTCTTGTGGAAAGGCTGCTTGAGAAGAATTTTCTCCTCAAGGGAGAAGAGAGATGCACATATTTCATTGTTTGTGTGTCATATGACCAATAACCAACAATGTCAACTCTGACGACCTCAGTCCGTGTACTAACGACATTTCGCATTCATTTGGCCGGCCCATGACTCTTCTTTTCCTCCATATATACCACTGTTTACAGTTTATTAATTGGTAGTTGGGTGTCAGTTATAATTGAGGACAGAGTTGTGACAAATATCAGAACTCGTGATATTCACATGGAATTCAATGTCGAATATTCACGATATGAAATTATTAGAATTGAATGAAATTTTTGCTGATTCCACGTTCCTTCAGGACGTAATCGATCATCATTCTTCACAGATTCACTTTCTTTATTATCAGTGAATTACCATTGATTCTTGGATTCATGGTACCATTCATACTAATTAAACCATAGCTGGAAGTAGGAAATATATTTATATATTCCCCAATTTGCTGCCACTCACAATTAGGGACTGAGTTTTGACAAAATCATTAAAAACTACTAAACTCAGGGAATGCGCCACATTGTTTTAACAAAAGGATAACTGATAGTTCCAGTTAAGGTGAGCATTTTAATTCATGTTAGGTGAAATGAGGAGTCAAGAAGATTTCTTGTAAGGATTAAAGGTTCCAAATTTACACCATTGAATCGTCCTACAGGAGAAATGTGTAGATAAAAGTGTTAGTATGCGTGAGTTGTGTCCCTTGATTTTATTTTAATTCCATCTATCTACCTATCTATCGATCTATCTAAAGCCCTCACTCAGTCAGCTAGTGTGACGTGCTTCTCTTTCCCTCCATAACTTGTCTCTCTTCTCTCTCTTCTTTTTTAATTTAATTTTTTAAAATTATTTTTTGTCTTCAGTCGACTTGTCGCGTTGGTTTAAATGATGTCAACTATATACCTGGTTAAACTATCCAAAAGTGATCAATATCTTATAGCCTGAAATATATATATATTATAATTAATTTGATTTAAAATATGTTTTTTACACAGTTCTAACCATGTTTCAAAAATGGTTAGAACTGTGTAGCGAAAAACATATTTTAAATCAATTAATTTATAATATTAATGCTCTGTAAATTTACATTGAGCACTATTTTGTAAAAATAAAAATATCTATAAGAACACCGGATTATATATCTTACTGTTCTTTCTTTTTATTTATACACACACACACACACACACACACACACACACACACACACACACACACACACACACACACACACACACACACACACACACACACACACATATATATATATATATATATATATATATATATATATATATCGGTGTATACGGAATGAATTCCAATAACCAACAATTACTATTTTTAAAAGAGTGCTCAATATAGAGTAGAGCAGATATAATTATTTATTTAAAAGAATTATAACATAAATATGTTATAAAATCACGACAAAAATAGCCATTTTGTTTCAACACAGACAGTGCTCGACAGTTATAGAGCTAATATCCAAGTATATAATTGGTGTATACGGAATGAATTCCAATAACCAACAATTACTATTCTTAAAAGAGTGCTCAATACAGAGTAGAGCAGATATAATTATTTATTTAAAAGAATTATAACATAAATATGTTATAAAATCACGACAAAAATAGCCATTTTGTTTCAACACAGAAACAAAAACAAACATTATTTACTATAAAGGACCAGGTAAATGTTTACAGATTCAATTATAAATAATCGTGCCGAAATTGTAAATTGTGCCTGAAGTAAGTAAATGCTTATAGACAAAAATCAACAATATTTACTATCCCGGAATCATGTAAATGCTTATAGACTCAATTATAAACGATTAACAATTAAATGTAGCTGGACCAAATAAATACTAATAAACTCAACTATAAACGAACAATATTTATCGAATCTGTAACAAAAGACCAATATTTAGATGAGACTGTTATAGTCCAGAATGATGGTGATATTTCATCATTCTAAAAATAATCTTGCCATCAGTGATGATAAAAATAAAGGTTATTTCATCATCCTACCATCATCATTATAAAACCGAGCCTTCCACCACAAGAGAGTCAGTAGAATAGTATGGACTAGGGTGCCCCAGGTAGTAGTCAGTAGATGAGTAGAAAAGTAGCAGTATAGAAACACACGTCTGCCAGCGCTCCTGGAAGACCGAAAACAGAAGATTTCAAACGCATCCTAACAAACAAAATTCTCGGAACCAAACAAGTAAGCACTGAATTTTAAACAAAAGAAACACTGAGAACATTTTAACACACACCATACCAATATCATGTAATCATTAAAAAAAAGAAAATACAAATTCTTGCTATATATGTTAATACATGTCTAGTTTTATTGTTGTTATCGTCGTACGTTTATGCATTTTAATTTCTGTCATTAACATCAACCCCATTACATTCAACAAATAATAAAAAAGGGTAAAATAATACATCAACACCCATTTTACCTACCCCGTTACAGTAGTGATCCCGCTACCCGGTTACAAGGCCAAACTAAGTAAATGATTTTAGGCCTAATTATAAGCGGCAAGTATTTAGCTGCTCTCGAACGTAATAAATGCTAATAGACTCAAATAAAGAAGAAATACTTTTCGAAATAAAATAACAAAACAGAATTTTATATGTAAAATCCTCCAATCAACTTCTTTGTTTCTTGTATTTTACCATTTTTTTTTTTTTGTTGTTAACGAAAAGTGCGAATTAGGGTATTTAAGGTCTTTGCGTCCATGTCTCAATGTGGTGTTATTACCAGCTGAGCAACTACCCACCTCCTCTTCAAATTGACCGTTTTTCGAGCGTTCTGCTTTGGAGGGAAATTGTTCCGGAAACAAGCGGCTAAGGACAAATAAATATCAGAAATTAATGATTGGGCGTGGATGTGAAATAAATTGATGAAGGTAATGAGTAAAGTCAAAAGAAAATCAAGCAAAATTCAAGGGACAAAGAGATGAAAGAATCAGAGAAAGAAAATTATAATTTAGAGTTGAAGACCGAAAAGAAAAGAAAACGAGAAAGAAAGAAAGAAAGAAAGAAAGAAAGAAGGAAGGAAGGAAGGAAGGAAGGAAGGAAGAAAGGAATGGAGAAAAACGAGAAAAAAGAAAGCTAGAAATAAAGAAAGGAGAGAAACGTTTAAGAAAGCGAAAGAAAGAAAGAAAGAAAGAAAGAAAGAAAGAAAGAAAGTGAGAAAGAAAGAAGGGAGAAAAACGAGAGAAAAAAAGAGAGCTAGGGATAAAGAAAGGCGAAAATCGTCTAAGAAAGCGAAAGAAAGTGAGAGAGAAAGAAAGGAAATAAAAACGTGAAAGAAGGAAAGTGAGAGAGGGGAAGTAAGAAATAAAGTCTGAAGGAGAATGTACGAAAGAAATAAAGAAAGAAGAAAATGCCAAAGAAAGAAAGCGAGAGAGGGGACGAATAGAAGTGAGAAAGAAAAAGAATGAAAAAAGAAAGAAAAAAGTGAACGAGAAAGAAAGCGGACGAGAAAGAAAGAAAACAGGAAGAGAGATATGAGAGGTAAATTACAGCCTGTAGGTGAAATAAACTGTTTTAAAAAACAGTGCATCTACTCATATACTGGTATTTACTAAAAATAACCCATGAAGTAATAAAAATATGTCGGATTAAAAAATAAATCCATTAATTCTTGAAATAGTTTTGTCATCCTCCCCTACCTCTCTTCCAAACAGTAGGAGCTTATGTAAGCTATCTGAAAATGACATTATGTAACGGTGACAAGACTTTCGGACCACGCTATATATATATATATATATATATATATATATATATATATATATCTCGCCTACCCAATTTAGAAAATTCACCATAGCTGTTACCATGGGGATTTTGATTTCAATTTTAAAACAAGTAAATTTCAGATATACGTTATTCCAACAAAAATTTCGCTTGAGGATAGAACGGAGCCCATTTTACTTTCAACTCAATTTAATTTAAAGGATTATATTGAAGTTTTCGGCTCTAGTTTTGAAACATGAGACCTCTTATGTAGCGATTTGGAATCATATTTTAAATAAATAATTATATATATATATATATATATATATATAATTATTTATTTTTTTTAAAATTATAACATAAATATGTTATAAGATCACTACAAAAATAGCCATTTTGTTTCAACACCTTGTTTTATATACTTGGATATTAGCTACACCTATTATATACTTGGGTGTATATATATATATATATATATATATTATAACTTTTTCATATAGACAAAAACAAGTCGAGGCGCAGCTAAATGCACCGAAACGAGGTTGCATCTTTGTAGTGAGTAAATTGTTTTTGTCTATATGAAAAAAAATATAATAAATAATTATTGCTCTATTATTGGTATTGAGCCCTCTTTTGAATTAATGCTGTGAACGTTAGAATTTATATATTATTTTCGTTCTCATTACATTCATATATATATATATATATATATATATATATATATATATATATATATATAATATTTTTATTATAATAAATTACATTAAAATATTTTACATCGCTACACAAAAAATTTCATGTTTCGGTACTGAGTTGGTACCTCATCAGGCGATGGTAAATAACTAATGATAAAAATGATTTATTAGGGAAATTAAAAAGCAAAACAAATCATTACATCTTTTCGTAAGTTAAAGGGGTGCATAAGGTTAGGATTAGAAATATAATTATGGGTATGTCTAGGTTAACCAATGTACGTCACGTCGACGCTAACATATAAAAATAAAGTCAGAGGGTGGAGGTGGGTGTGTTATTATTAAATGTCATGAAGACAGATGCTTAGACACGTCAATCAACGATGCTAGGTAACAATACAGCGACAAATATAATAGAGTTTGATTTGGCAATTTGTTGAAATATACATAAATTTATCAGAAACGAATATTTTTAAAATTATTTAAAAAAAATTAAAAACATACTCAATAAGCTTCTTAAAGGGGCCTTTGGATAAAATTTAATGTGAAAACAATATTATAAGTTGTTAATTATACTGAATAGATGGTAAAAAACGGCAATATTATAGTTAAATAATCAAATAAATATTGCGTGGACCATTATATATTAATAAAATAATGGCTAAACAATTATAACACGTAATTATTAAAAAATATCTATGTTTTTAGGGGAAGGGTAGACAATAGCAGCATAGCACTGTTAATTAATTTCTTTGGTTCAACAGGTTTTTATATGGGATTTTTCTTGTAAACATTGGTGACATGGATCATATAAGGATTTACAGGTTCTAGTTATTTTTAATTATTTTTAATATTTTTTATTTTATATACTGTTGTGGAGTTATTTCGGAGTGGAGGGTTGTATTTCTACTAAATCGGTCCTAAATAAGTTCGACGTACAAAACGTTAGGAACTTGATATAATAGGTATTACGCAGAGTAATCTTATTGTGGTCGCTGACTACTTTTGTATTCGACTAACTGTCGACTACTGTCGTCAGACATCGACTAGTATTTAGTCACCCCCCCACGAGGGTATTATGTGGCACAAGGCTGGTTTAACGTGGGATCTCCGAGCCCGTGGGCTCGGCCAAAAATATACCCTTTGAACCCGTATAAACGGGTTCAGGGTCGGTTTACCTCCCCAAACGAGACTCTGACCTTCGGCATAGCCTCGTTCGGGTTCCTCCCCGCCCGAAGGCAGAGAGTTCAACCGTTCAGCCGGTCGTCCGACATCGACTGACCCTCGTTTCTCTTACTACTCCTACTTATATTAGGTGGGAGAGTCTATTAACGATAGAATAGGTGTTTTTCACCATAACATATATATATATATATATATATATATATATATATATATATATTGTATATTTAGGCAGCAATTTTTCATTGATGCATGTTTCATTAAATAATATAGACAAGTTTTATCTATTTAGTTTAATTTAGTTTCATGGCAGTTGTTCTAATGAACTCTTCTCCTTGCTAGCACAACCGAGTGAATTTAAGTGTACTACTAGACTAGTAGGTTCCATTGTTTTACTGTTGAAATAACTGAATGTAGCCGACCGTAAGTCCTATTCTAATAGGTTATTTTCTCACACTTCTCAACTGTAGAACTCTCTTGGGTTCCTTGTTTCTCTGTCACCTAAAATGTTAAGAAAAAATTATATGCAATATCTATTACAATATTCTGTCTTCCTGAAACCTGTTCCTTTGTTGCCCTTTCTCTTCACTAAAGTCTTCTCATTTCCTTACACTCCCAGTAACACCTTGCGTCTTAGTGGCATTATCGCATTGCTTGTTGTGAAATGATTAAAAAAGATAGATAGATAGATAGATAGGCAGTAGACGGTAGGTAAGTGTGTATAAAGTTAAGCAAAATTAATTTTATATTTTCTAGTAACTTGTCACGTGACTACAATCGTGGAACATCGAACTTGCTTACCATTGAATCACGGTGAGTTACTCTGTTAGTTATTTAATAAACTTAGTTGGGTCTGGCACAGCGTCACTACAATGGGTGTTACCAATGAGAATCGAACTGTCTGTACTTGTAAAAGTTTCCGTAAGCCAAGCATAATGACTAACATAACATGGTCGGTATTCAGAATAAATAACATTAAGAAGTATCCGAAAAATTGCGTTGGAGTCAAGAAGGAACAGAGAAAGAAAAAAAAAATAGCAGGCGGTGAAGCAAAAAGGAAAGAATAAATTAAAATGGAGATTCGAGAGAAAAGAAACCAAATGAAAAGACACACCAAAATCTACGATTCCTTTCAATTGGATAATTTATAGCCGTTCTTCAACACGAGGGAAAAACCCTACCATGCTGTCCAATTGCAACGTGTTAATTAGGAGAGAGAATTAAAAGTATTGGGCCCCCATATCACCTCTTCATCTTCCTCGTTTCATTTTCTCTTGGGCTCAACCACTTCTAACTGACATTTTTTTTTTTCTTCAATCCCTATCTCTCCGCCATATCGCCCGATCTATTTCCAAATTCCCATTAAAATTTTCCGAAAATTCATTTTTCATTTGAATTTTCATTTCTTCTTTTTTCGTTGCTATTATTCTGTAATTCCTACTTTTATTTCATGTTTAAATTTCCATTTGAAATTGTGGCGGGAAGTTGTTTCATTCATATTCTTCCACCATTTTGGCCTCCATAAATTTTCCATTGAAACAAGAGAAGGGACTTTGAGAAAATTAAAAGCATGAATTAATTAATCAAGTCAAACAAATAATTTAAGAGGAATATCGTCAACCAAAGAGTAACATTTTCGGAAGTAACAACGATATTAGTTCACCAGCATATATGGTTAAATGGTTTGAGCGTGTTCCTGTGGAGGAAGAGTTTAAGAAACATATGCATGCGCTGACAGTCATAAGTAGAATATAGAGTGAATGGCCATGGTTAAATATAAATAAATGGCAGAAGTGCCCAACAAACAGAATTGGCAAAGTTTGTAATAAACAACAAGAAAAAAAAAGAAAAGAACAGGGTAAAAACATAATATAAAACAAGCAAAAAATATCTGCAAAGTAAGTTGACGGTAATAAGGCAAAGCAACAGATGTATGGCGAAAGTTTCACAAACTAAGAATTGAGGTTGACACACAAGAACATATTCGGACGAACGAGCGCAGCGTTCTGATTTCAAAGCAAGACAGACCAGGAATGAATCAGATGAAACCGGGAACGGATCTATTTTATTAGCTATATATTTAGCTATTTTATTAGGAAGAAATCCCAGCATGCTTATGCTTATAAATTGGGGAGGCTAAAGTATTTTGTAATCATTACCAATTCATATTGGAATGAAGATACTGTTTTAGAGTAAAACTGTACAAATACAACTGGAACCCCACTTTCAGTTTTTCACTGACCGGGCAATGCCTACCTCACGTTGCATCTTTTTTCTCCTGCGGGTCAGTATGCAGCAAAAAACTGGTAAAAAGCTCACAAGGAAACTAAAGGTGGAAATAAACGACACGACAAGTAATGAAGAGTTGTCCCAGCATATTTCGTGGTTTATTCAAGGATTGTCTTCAACGGTCTGGGTAGGTATATATATATATAGGTAGGTAGGTGAAGTTTTGAGAAACTTCTGCTATCTCCCAACACCACATCAGATTTTCTTTTTAACTCTTATTTATACCTATTCTCTACACATTTCAACATCACGGCATGCGATTGTCTACTCTAACTGGCGACATCGGAACTTACCTGAAGAACAGTCTGTCACACCTAACGGGGCGGAGGTTCAAAAATCTCCTCAATAAACAATATACTTTTAATATGGAGCTGCATCCGGATAACTTGCACGTCCGATTTTTTGTCGCTTGATCCAAAATGTTTTCATTTATTCATCTATTTTTTTCTTTTTTGGTGAAGTGGATGACTGCTACCCATTCCATATCACTAGCCATAAAACACAAAGCAAGAGGGAGATAAAATTACACGCCATCTCCTATGATTCCTGCATAGTTTGTTGGGTTTGTTTTCACGTAAATCTTCTTGAGAGAGAAATATATTCATTACATCTCTCTCTACTTGTTGGTTAAAGGCAAATTAAAACTGAACTCTTTAGACTTGAGTAGCAGCCAGTCTAAGAGGAAGACCAATGTAAATTGCAAATTGTAGAGATAGCAATAGGAAACCTATTTACTATCTTTTGGAAGAAGTCATGACAATTTGCAGATATTAGGAAAGCCATAATCGACTACGCCTTGAAGATAGATGTATGTTAAATTTCTTGTATCTCTGAAATACAAAAAGAAAATTGGAATATGTGTTTCTATGTTGAATTAATTGCAAAGCATATTATAGTGTTTTTTTTATCAAGAAGTAAAACTAATAACTAGAATATAGGAGGCTGTTTGTGCGAATGACAGGTCATATTTGGAAGATGTAGGTTTTTGATACTGGATTATTATTATTATTGTTATTTTTTGACAATCGCTCGGAATGAGAATTTGGAGAGCCGAGTTCAAATTCAAGTCGGATTTATTACATTTCACTTGCGAAAGGTATGAATCGACCCCTTCTCTCAGTTGTGGTTTAAATATCAGGACAGAATGGGTGCTATAGCTTTGATTTGCAACCAGTCTACCGCAGAAAGAAAAGCTAATAGTGTGGGAAAATCTGCCTAATTAGTCATGAATCGAACGAGACTTGATCATCCAAGGTTGTTTCACATATGAGATGAAGAAGAGACTTGAGGCAACAGGAATATGGTTCTACAGAATTGTTGAAGCTTGAATAAGCATGGAATAATAATAATACAACACAAAATGTACGTAACAAAATGTATTGAAACAATGAAAAAAGGTACACAATATTTACAGGTAGTTTTGGTATATTCTTGGGAAGACTGTTCCTGCAGAATGGGTTGACTAAGTCGCAGTCGGGCAGAGTCTCTGGATTCGATCTCTTAATCTTCCCTCGTCTTCCGGTACCAACCCATATTTATATGGTCGGTACTCCACTTATGTAAATTAGGTGTATCATACACAACAAGAATAATGCTGTAAATACCACATAGGGAACATTTAATCAATGACGAAGTTTTGCGGAAAATGGAAACAAAAAGAACACTTCTATTTGGAAGCAGGCAGAGGGAGTTGATATTTCTAGGGCACTTAATGAGGAAAGAAGGGTTATAAAATTTGACACTCGCAGGGCATATTGAAGGCAAGAGAGACAGAGAAAAGTAGCGAGTAACCTACCTAATGAGCTTGTGTAAATGGTTGGCAGAACAGAGATTAAGAGAGATAGCAAAAAGAAACGCTTTACTAAGAGCTACAAAGGACAGAAATTGTCTAAGAGAAAAGATTTTGTCACGTTCCAAATGGATTCAGCACGCTCAGAGAATCGCATGCATAACCATGAAAAATGAAGTTCAAGATTCCAAATCCTAAAATGTTCAATGGTAAAATGAAAAAAAATTCTATTGGAAGGAGTTCTTTAGTTAAAAATGTCTAGCAAACTAAACCCGCAAATATCACATATAATCGATGGTGACATCATGTTTCGGATTGTGTCAGAAACATACTAGAAAAAGACCTTTCAAGCTAGGGATACCGTCATTCTTTTCAGAAAGATCATGTAACGAAATGCAAAACTTAAACCATTGGAATCATCTTGCATTAAAACAATCTGACAAATTTCTGGAAGCCCGTGAAATTGCAAGTAAAATTTATTTATCAAAATTGAACAATCTTAAATCAATCAGACAATGGCATTATGGTATTCCCACCCAGTACTTTTGTTTTGATCATCTTGCAAGTAGATCTATCTATCTATCTATCTATCTATCTATCTATCTATCTATCTATCTCAGTGTCTGTCCATATCTATCTATCTATCTATCTATCTATCTATCTATCTATCTATCTATCTCTCCTATTGTTTTCTTCTATGTCTTTTATTATTTCTGTAGTGTTCATCTCAAGCCTTTTCTTCAATTTCTTAGTCAATGTGTAAAAGCACAAATGATTTTCTGACAACAAAACAAATAAGACAACAACAACAAGAAAAATACAAAATAAAAAATACAAAAACCAAAAACAAAACACAAAACACAGAATTGTTTTTCGATTCTAATTGTTGTTACTTTTAAGACAATGATTCCCACGGGAAAAATCATTTTGTTGAAAAAATAATTTTATCAACTTTTGTAAATACGCTTTGTTTATTCTTAACAACACACACACACACACACACACACACACACACACACACACACACACACACACACACACACACACACACACAAAACATCTTCACGCATGCGCATCTACACATGCTCAAACACACACTGATACGCACCTGCACACTTATACGTACACATAAACCCACCCATACATATCGATACGGATTCACTTCCACACAAACACAGATTCACACTGGTAAATACACGTGCAGCTGCACACACCTTACCTATACATCGGCACGCATTAACATATCTACACGCATATACATATGCACACACATAATAATACACACCGACACGCATCTAAACACTTACACCTATACATGCGCTCATACACAGATACACACACACACACACACATACACCTATAAACATCCATTTGCGCACAAGCATACACAAAAACCCACACAACTACACACGCGCAAACACACACTGAAACGCACCTGCGAAATTACGCATATACATAAAGCCACACATACAAACCGATACACTGGACTGGACACACACACACAGATTCACACCGACAAATACACATGTTTCTAAACACAATTTACCTATACAGCTATGAACGAGCGAAGAAGAGATGAAGCGTAGGCAATGGAAGGTGAACAGTCTAACTCTGGTCTTTTGCCTATCTGTGGGTCCCTTCATCGCTAATCTGGTAGGGGCCACTGTCTTATCTGGTCATCTTTGTCTAAAAAGTCATTTATCAAGTTCAGGCTTGATTCAGTGACCTCCTTTGTCAGAATCGTTTGCCATTATTCTTGTGAAGGCCAGTTCACTTAGCTGATAATCCTAAGGACCATCCTAAGGTCTGAAACAATTTTTGCGACAAATCAGATGTTTCCATTTAACAAGATATCGGCTGACGCTGATATTGCTACAAATAAAAATGCTAAAATACCTTCAATCTTTAGATGATAAATTTCTCAGGTTCTTGTAAAGTTAAAAAATTCTATACCATCGCAATAACGAAGAGAGGCGATAAATATTTTGACGATTAAAATGAAGAGATAAGCAGTCTTCTCGTTTAAATATCACATTTTTATTCACGCATGATATTAATTTTGTGATTGTTATTTTAAGAAATTGAATTCAATTGTTTCGTGTAAACATATTAATAAGCTAATAATTCAATTGTTTTTTTTTATAATCAACACCGCCATCTTGAAAGGTACGGATTTTCTATGTGTTCCCGGTAAATGCTAGTCACGTCATAATTTGTTGAAGCGTTTATTGGGTAGCCAGTCCTTCTCGTCGTTAATAAAGTATCCATAAGAAGCAAGTAAAGACGATTAGACGAACAGGAGAGGAAAGAATATAACGTGAGAGAAACATGAAAGAAAGTTTTATTCTTTCATTTTATTTCTCCCGTTATGGGCATTATTACATCCATGATATAATAACACCGTATTTCACGGACGGAGCAGAACGACTGAAACGAAAAGTAATGACAAACATGCTTTTTTCTCAGACTAAATTTTATACTACTAAGACACACACACACACACACACACACACACACACACACACACACACACACACACACACACACACATATATATATATATATATATATATATACATGCGTCCCACGCGGAGAATAATATATCACATATATCCATACTGCAAAGCAGAGTGTAAGGAAAAACAAAAAGGAAAGTTTTTACATATAATTTGGAGATACTCCTGTATCTGGAGACGCCATGTTTAGGACTCCAGAATCAAACGAGTCAGGTTCATCTATTATGTACCAGGTGAGGACCTATTCCACTAACGGAAAACGGCGAGACTGGTTTTCCGAAATTGGAGACTTCAAGCTGGAGTTTCTTTCTATATCTGTAGAGGAAAAGTATGTCATTCCATCATTAAAACAGTATTTTGAAGTATTGTCATCATCATTGTTGGGCTTACGACCGCATCAAGTCGAAACAGCCGTTCTCGTACGATCACCAAAGTCAAGTAAAGTCGAGCCGGGTCAGTAACTATATGGGTGACTGCTTGGGAATACCATGTGCTGTAAGATTGTGTGTGGTGTAATGGATAAAGTCTGGGAATGAGAAGTCAGAGAGCGAAGTTCGAATTCCAGTCTGGTTCATTACATTCACTTACACGCAAATATCCCCGTGAAAGTAATGAAACCACCTCTTTTTCTCCAGTCTATCGGTTAAATAGTAAAACTTGTCTTAGAAAATTATCATTATCTCCAGAAAAGGGTTAATACAATATTCACACACAAAAACAAAAGAATTATTCTTACCATCACAAAATATGCTTCGGTTTTAAATAACCCTCCAAAAGTTGATAAGCCGTAAAAAACAAATCAATGAAAAATTCATCATTGTTTGTCTATATTTCTGAGATGAGGTATTATGTACACTATTTATATTGTTCGAACTATCATCCTCATCGTTGTTGCCATATTTATCACAACGTTTCAGCCGTTGTACGCTCCGGCCTTCTTCAGGTGGTTGGAATGTCGAACTGAACTCTTTATTTCTCTCGTTAGGGTAGATTGTTTTAGTTCCACGTACCGTGTCTAATGGATGTCAGTTATCAGTTATCTTAAAGGGTTCAGTTTGACATTCCAACCACCTGAAGAAGGCCGGAACGTACAACGGCCGAAACGTTGTGATAAATATGGCAAAAAAGATGAGGATGATAGTCCGAACAATTTAAACAGTGTTCATCATTGTTGTTTTCAATATAACGTTTACACCCTTCAATCTTCCTCTCGTTGTCTAAGATATATTTTTATATTTCTTTTTAAAACTTTCTTTATTGTTTTAGGACAACTCATAGGTCAATTTATTCTGTCTTATTCGTGTGGGCTAAAGTTTTGAAATAAAGTATTGTTATTATTCAAGATAATTTTTAAATTACTTATTCCAACCAATATTTCTACCGTTTGTAGTTCTTTGATGAAAAATTTGACGGAGAAATGATTGACTTCTTTTTACGGAATATCAACACATTTCAGGCTATTTAAAGCCAATAAATGTTTTAGATTGTCTTTATTTTAAGATAATAATGGTTTAGTGATACTAGTGATTAAACCACAACTGGAGTGAGGAGAAGAGGTTGATTAATACCCAAGTGAATAAGTTAATAACGAACCCAACTGGAATTAGAACACGGTACTACAATTAAAAATCCCGAAAAATTATTTTTTTTATTATATCGAAATCAGTTCTCCGAACAACTCTTGGAATGTTACTTCTCAAAATTAAATAAGGCTTGAACTGGTTAAGATTGTAGTGGTCGTTGAAGCATCCTCTTGGGAGTCGGTTCCACAAAGCATTGTTTCGTAGGAAGAAGTCGCTCGAGTGAACTTGCATCTCACCAGAGGAATACGAAGGGAATGAGGGTACTTCATTACAATGGCCGTCGCACGGCGGGTCTAAGTTGTTAAAGTTATGACTAGTGACACTATGAAGTGTAGATTATATAAACAATCTCTATTGGAACCTTGTTATGGGACCTTACCCATAATAACATAATGGAATATTCCATACGCCTCAAGAGGAAGCAGAGAGTTCAGCCCGAAGTTATACGGGTTCAAAGGGCATATTTTTGGCCGAGCCCACGGGCTCGGAGATCCCACGTTAAACCGGCCTTGTGCCACATGATGCCCTCATGGAAGGGGGTGACTAAATACCGTTCAGTCTGAAGTCGGACGACCGGCTGATCGGTTGAACTCTCTGCCTCCGGGCGGGGAGGAACCCGAACGAGGCTACGCTGAAGGACGGAGTCTCTTTCGGGGAGGTAAATCGACCCTGAACCCGTTTATACGGGTTCAAAGGGCATATTTTTGACCGAGCCCACGGGCTCGGAGATCCCACGTTTAACCGGCCTTGTGCCACATGATGCCCTCTTGGGGGGGGATGACTAAATACCGTTCAGTCTGAAGTCTGGAGTGAGGTCCGTCAGTAGTCTGTCAGTCAGTCAGAGCGAGCGAGTCAGTCAGTCGAGTCAGAGGCAATCTGAAACAGAGTCGCGTTCAGACAATTACTACAAGGCATTGGAATAATGATACTGGTCGAGACTACATTGTTCTCCCTACTAAACCTGATTGTTCGTACTAACACTTTCTACTTCTCTGTATATATTCCTGTTTGTAATATATCTGTGTTACTCCATATCCGTGTTCGAGATCTACCTTGGACCATCACCGTGGTACAAGGACCTGGACCATAACAGACCTAAAGGCGCATAAATCGCCTGAATAAATGTGCCTGAAGACAAGATAACTTCAAAACATTGTTTTTTTTCTAAAAGAGGGAAATTCAGAAATAAAGGGATGATCTATCCAAAACATCGACATATACAAGAGTATATACGGTAATTATTTAAAAAATAAAGGAAAGAAAAAATGAAAAGAAAGCAAACACAAGTATGCTTATTGCATTCATTAGCAGATCGATATCGAATGAGTGTATCGATATTGTTTTGAAATTCTTGACATAATGGGAAGAATTTTATGGACCGAGCAATGTGTACGATTGTCAAAGAAACAAGAAAGCGACGAGGATCGACGGAACATCGATTAGACTTAAAAATCGGTAAGGATTTTCATTGCTTCGTCTCCTTTCGGTTCAATATTGTCAGAGTTTATATGTTTTTTTTCTATTTTCTTTTTCTTTTTCCTATTAAAATACATCAAGGCATAGAACAACGACATCCCACCCCAAAACTGGCATTGAAGTAGTGATTTTAAAGGTAGAAGTATTGACAATGTCAACCATTTTGTTTTATAGATATTCGCGTTTACGCATGCGTGTACTTCATATCATATCGGTCGTTGAATATCTATATTCAGACGGGGAGAGAGAAAGAGAGAGAGAGTCAGTATGATTTTATATGTTCGATTTTTTTTCAGAAAATACATCCAAGCACATGTGTCTTGGTAAGAATTCATTTGTATACTTGTTCAAGCGTATTGTTCGAAATATTGATGTATATCTCAAGTAATGTTGACAAGATCGTGTCAGTCTTTGCAAGCTTGACACACCCGTTCTTACAAAAAGTGAGCTGCAGTTGTGTAAACAGATTCAACAAGGGATAAAAAAAAGGCAGGGATCAATTATTTGCACTTATATAAAGGGAATCGTAGGTCAGTGAAAGTTAATAGTAATAAGTGTATGAAAAGTATAATTGGTAAATGGGTTTACTTCGAGATTGTTGCATATTTCGTTGTTCGAACCCAGCTAAATTCCAGGATTTTGAATGCCGATTTTCGAGGGCTGATTTTGAATGCTGATTGTCAATTAGAAGATTGACTTAATATAATATTCCCACTACATTGTGTAAAACGATGAGACCTAATTGACAATCTAGTATTACATTTAAATTCATGCGGTCGAGATACCAAGTAGGAAAGCTCATGAGAACAATTATATAGAAAAGACAGACGACATTGGGAAAGTGACTGGAGATACAAGTATAATTACAGACCCTTCTTTAGATATTGTTGAAAAACGCGAGACCAAACAAGACCAGACCAGATATGGAAAACTTATTCAATGCATATATGAATTGTAGATTTCTAAATGCACAAAAAATCACGTGAACAAATTGCCGAAAACAACCACAGTAATGAAAATCTAGGAATCCAAAATTTCAGGACACCGTGTCTGGATACGGCCGTGAATGCTTTTGATTTGCTTACGAAGGCGGCCTGATTCCAAAATGGTATGATATGTTGAGATACGGCCTCTAGGAGTAAAGTTGTAAAGGTGTGACACAGTGACACACTGACATTCGCAATTTTTTATATAGATTTGTTCTTTTTAAATTAGTTTTCATTTTCAGTTAGATGTTAAAAGTGCTTATTAGTGATCCTTGACTTTTAATGAAAATGACAAGAGCCCAAGAGAATGCACAAGTTTGATAGAGATCAAATTGGACACTCAGTTTCGGAGAAATTACACTGCAAAGTAAAAACAAAAACACAAGCCGTGTTAATATCTGTGTGTGGAACAATGTTATTAATGACAACAGGAATTATCTTAGAAAAAAAACTAGACTTGTTGCCTGCAACAAATGGGCCAATGTGGACGTATTCTGGTATATTTAAATCAAACCTTATTTGTTTACCAATGCTTTCCAATAAACGCTGTGAGGTCATTTTCATTCTTTCATTTCTTTATGAATTTTTACGTGTACAGATAGTTCATGTATGCGTCGAATGCTGGACAAGCTCCTCAAAGACGAAGAAGAGACTTGAAACAAGAGAGAGGTGGTTCTGCAGAAGAAAGCTGAGGATACCATGGACCGAACATGTAAAAAACAGCGAGGTTTTGGAGAGAAAAGAAACAAAAAGGAAATTCATACTTAACATCAGGAAGAAGTAGTCGAGATTTCTGGGGCAGGTAATGAGGAAAGAGAGATTGGAAAAACTGACACTCACAGGAGGAATTGAGGAAAAAGGGACAGTGGAAAGCGAACTTGATGAGTTCGAGCAAATGGTTGGCAGAACAGAGTTTGAGAGAAATAACAAAAAGACAAAACTTATTAAGTGCTACGAGAGACAGAAAAATGTGGGGGTCATGATCACCTATTTTCTTAAGGGACACAGCACATAAAAAGAAAAACAAAAGAAGAAAATATAACAACAAAAACAAACCTACAATCTTATTCTTTGCATTTAGCATGATACCATCATCAAACATGGAGGGACTTGCAATTTTACTGCCTACAATACAAGCCTTGTAAAACATTTCGTTGATTTTTCCATGAAGAACTCTCGTTCAGCTCTCAGTTCTATTCAATGTTTATGGATAAAAATTACTTCAGGAAAAATTATTTTTCATGTATATTTTTTATCCAGCGTACATATTTCTCTTTGTAATCTTTGCTAAAATGACTGCCTTTTCCTCTTTTTATACCAATGTTCTTAATATTCTGAATTTTCTTTTTTCCGATTGCATTTGCAACACTGGTGCTTTAAATATTTTCTTGCGGATCAGTTTCGCTTTTCTTGCCCATTTCCGAGATTAAATTTTTCTTAAATCTCTTTTCTTG